TTACAAACGTGCGTTGTCGCCGAGTTTATCAGCCGTGCATCCAGTGTTTCATGTGTCCATGCTTCGGAAGTATCACGGCGATCCATCCCACGTGTTAGACTTCAGCACTGTCTAGTTGGACAAGGGCTTGTCATGTGAGGAGGAGCCGGTAGTTCAGTGGAGAGGTCAGCCTGCTAAGGCATCAACCTAGGAGTCCGAGTCCGATATGCGAAGCCGTTATCCCCATCTTTTCCCCGACTCAGGTACTTCCTTCTTATGTCCATTCTAGGACGAACGATTATTTTAGAGGTGGAGGATGTGATGACCCAAAAAGTCATCACTTGTTTTAGAAATAAATTCTGCGTTCCGAGGCCTTAAAAATCTCTTTCAGCATCACCTCGATTTGCGTGTGCAATTCGGACGCGTAGCCGGAAAGCCATTATGTGAAAATCTATGAAAAATGATAAATTTTGGTTTTAAAATGAATTTAAGTTGACTTCGGTCAACATTTTGGGTAAACGGACCCGAACCCATGATTTGACGGTCCCGGAGGGTCCGTAGGAAAATATGGGACCTAGGTGTATGCCCGGAAATGAATTCCGGGGTCCCAAGCCTTAGAAATCAATTTTTGAAAGAAATTGTTTCGCTGAATTATCTAAGAAATGAAGAAAAGTATTAATGTTTGAAACCATTATTATCGGGCCCGTATTTTGGTTCCGGAGCCCGGTCCAAACTTGTTATAGAATTTAAATGATAACTGTGAAATTTGGTGAAAAAGTGGAGTCTATTTGACGTGAGTTGGACTTCCGGTTGATGAGTTATGAACTTTGAGTGTTCTTGATGAGAATGTTGAGTTTTGAGGTTTAATTCATGGTTTTACATGTTATTTCGATGATGTGATCGCACGAGTAGGTCCATATGATATTTTTGAGTTAGTATGCACATTTGGTTTGAAGTCCCGAGGGCTCGGGTGAGTTTCGGGTAGGTTTCGGGATGTCCTAGGCTTAAAACATAGCTGTTGCGGGTTCAGAGAAGTGCAGATCTCTGAACCCGCCAGTGCGGTCCGCATTGATTTTGTGCTGTCCGCGGTGGGGGCTTTGCGGCCGCACTCGATTTTGTGCGGTCCGCACATGTTCACTGGTCCGACTTCGGAAGCCTATATCTTTTGATCTAAAAGGAATTTGAGATGATTCAAAAACGAAAGTTGTAGCCCTTCGTTTCTAGTTTCCAGAAAGGTAAAGAAATCACAATTTGGACATCTGTAGAGAATGTTATGGCCAAAATACTAAAGCAAGTCACTGCAGTCAGCATTATGAGCTTCGCGGCCGCACTCCTTTTGTGCGGTCGTACAGGGGGTCTGAGAGGGGTATATTAAATGGGATTTTCAGTTATTTTTCATTTTTCAAAACCCCAAAAACATAAGAGGCGATTTTTCAAACAACCTTTCTTCTCCAAAACATTAGTAAGTGATTTCTAACTCATTTTCTTTACTCCTTAACTTCTTTTTACAAGATTTCATCCTAGAATCTAGGGTTTTCATGGTGGAATTGGNATAAGATAACCAACTAAAATTTTTATCAAAAAGAAAATATTATGAGCAGCAAACTTAAAAGCAATTTGAAAAATTTAGAAGATTTCGTAATAAAATGAAAACTAAAGACACATTGAATGGCATATCATAAGTTAAAAACAAAAAGGATTTTCACGACAAAAATGAAACAGACAAATCTTGTTTCTTTTTCTTCTTCCTTTTTTCATGTCCTCAAGTACCTAGGGTCAATAATCCAGGGAGATGGGGAGATCGACGGGGATATTACGCATCGTATTGGGGCGGGATGGATGTAATGGAATTTAGCGTCTGGAGTCCTGTGTGACAAGAATGTGCTATGGAAACTCAAATGTATGTTTTATAGAGCGGTGGTTAGACCGGCCATGTTGTATGGGGCTGAGTGTTAGCCAGTCAAGAATTCACATATCTAGAAGATGAAAGTAGCAGAAATGAGGATATTGAGATGGATGTGGCGGGCACAATAGGCTGGATAAGATTAGGAATGAAGATATTCAGGAGAGGGTGGGTGTGACTCCGGTGGACGACAAGATGCGGAAAGCGCGGCTTAAATGGTTTGGGCACGTGCAGAGGAGAAGCCTAGATGCCCCGGTTAGGAGGTGTGAGCGATTGACTTTGGCAGGTACGAGAAGAGGTAGAGGGCGGCCAGAGAAGTATTGGGGCGAGGTGATCAGACAGGACATGACGCGCTGCAGATTCCCGAGGACATGGCTCTTGATAGGAAGGTGTAGAGGTCGAGCATTAGGGTTGTAGGTCAAGGGGTAGTCGAGCGATTTTCCTCTTTGTCCTGGTTTTTCTCTTTGTACCCTCTAGTATGATAGTGTTTTATCTAGCACTGATAGCGGTATATGTTATGTTTCACACTTTTGCATAATATTTGTGTTACTGCTTTTCTATTTATTTGCTGTCTCTCATGTTGCTGATATTATTTTTCTGGTTTCTGTTGTTGTCACGGATCTATTGTCTTTGAGCCGAGGGTCGTCTCTACCTTTCTGGGATACGGATAAGGTCTGCGTACACTCTATCCTTCCCAGACCCCACTAGTGAAATTTTACTAGATTGTTGTCGTTATTTCTACACGACAAAGAAACATAATATGGAAAGAGATAACCCGGAGATGGATCCCTCTTTCTAACCTTCCCCCTCCAAATATTTGTGGGTCTGCTCAACCATACTAATCTAGTCAAGCATCAACCAGTAACAACCAAAAATAAAATTCAAAATATGTTGAAAAATTAACTTATGTGTGCATATCAAAACAATCTGAGTCCCGGAAACAGAAAAGAAAAAGAAGAGAGCTCTCTTTCTCTTGATTTGATGGAAGAGAAACAGAGCGCTCGATGGCGGCGACATCGGCAGCTTAGCTGTGGAGGATCAAAGAGGAGTGAGCAATCATCACACTTGTCTTTGATTTCCTGAATTTTATTGATAACTGAGTTATGGTTTCTCTACATTTAATTGTTGGATTTCTGTTGATACTTGTTGTACCCCGCAGCATGATCCCCCTTCCTATCTTCAATTGAACTTTGGTGATCTTTATATTTATTCGTTGTTCTTATGTTATTATTCGATGTCCCCGCAACATGTGTTCCCCCTCCCATCCTTAGCTGTACATTTCTGCTTGTATTGTTCCGCTGTATATGATTTAACTGCATAGGTTTATTTTGATAGTCTGGTCCTAGCCTCGTCACTACTTCGCCGAGGTTAGGCTAGGGACTTACCAGCACATGGGGTCGGTTGTGTTGATACTACACTCTGCACTCTTTTGTGCAGATCCCAGTGCTGTAGATTTCGGACCACTGTGAGATTGCTGCTCCTTGTTCATCAGGACCCAAGGTAGTCCTGCAGGCGTCCGCAGGCCTTGGCGTCTCCTTCTATCTATTATTCCTGTTTCCTTCTTGTATTTCCAGAGACAGTGTTGTATTATTTCTTTCAGACTTTTATTTGTAGTAATCTTAGATAGTCTGTGAAGTTGTGACACCAGTCTTGGGTATATTTGTTATGGAATGGCATTAGCAGTATTATTAAAACTTGGAATCCAAATCTTCCGCTTATTAAATTTTGTTGATTATTAACTGTTGGTTTATAACTGTTAACGGATTTAAAAACGGAAACGAGGTAAATAATTCAATTGGTTGGCTTGCCTAGCTTTCACTAGTAGGCGCCATCACGACTCCCGAGGTTGGGAAATCCGGGTCGTAACAAATGTATAATATATTCTGTAAAAGCAAAAAAGGCGAATAACATTTTACTTAAGGTCTTTGTGTTTTTAATATAGTATAGATAAAGAAAATAACTGACACTTGGAATACGTATAATCGACTCCCATATTTCAGAATCAAACAAATGATTCGATTGTGAGCTTGCCGTTTTCTTTAGCTAAAGAGTTGGTGTTTTTTACTTGGTCTCTTTCGGAAATAGGGGAGAATACAACGTACATGGCTTTACCTCTACTTCAACATCAATACTTATGCTATCAGTGGCGTAGCCAAGAATTTGTCTAAGAATGTTCAAATTTGAAAAGAGTAACTAAGGGTGTTCAATATATATTATAAACCTTTAAAACATAATATTTTACCTGTATATATATGCAACATAATTTTTCGATAAAGGATAATCAATTGACCACCCTTACTAAAGTGTAACTTTGCCCCTGTATGCTATCACATTTCACCCTTATCTATTCATACAAGAATTATGTCCTTGTGTTGTAGGTAGTGTACTCCTTGTATTACTATCTTCTAAGATGTGGCTAGCTCATGATGAAACTCTCAATCTTATACTATGGCGTCTTCTGATCTTTAGCAACTTCTTGATCGTGGTCAATACTTTAGCATATTTGTGAATACACGAAAGGAAATGATAAATTAAGAGCGAGAGCTACTTCTTCAAATTAAGTAGTTAGGTACAAGTGAAGATTGGTGCTATATCAATTTGAGTTGTAATGCTCGACTTGATCATTCAATGTTTAATCCTCGATCATTCCTCTTTTGAATCCATCTATTTTGGTCAAATAGAGTTTGATAGACCTAAATACCAACATTAAATACCAAATTATTTGATTTATGGTATTAAAATATAGATATACAATGTTCAATTCTAAAATGTACACATGATCAAGTACATTACTAAGGAAAGAATACACAATAAATATTCAAATGTAGATATACGATGAATATATTTGGTTTGAAGCATATAATCGATCGGTGAGAGAACATTTTACTTTTAATACAGCGTAACACTTTTTCAGTCGTTTGCTAGTGTTCAACGTACAAAGAATCAGCAAGGACAATATGAATAGTGTGTGTTGTGAATAGCAATAGACATAAGATGACACGTGTCGATGGCCCAAATAGTTGACACGTTGCTAAAATTCAAAACGACAAGCCTAGGAGTAAGTTTCCCACCAAATTTTAATATTTAATATACCTTGTTCCTTCCCCGCAGGCCGCAACTCGTTTCACGCCAAACCAAAATAGAGTGTAATCTCAAAATAAATTCTCGTCAGAGCGGCTTCAAAATCCCAAATTCTAGGGTTTCAATTACGGCCCATCCAATCAATTTCTCCCCACATTGATTCCTCTCAGTCTCTCTGGTTTTGTATGATTCCGATCTTTATTTGGAGCTGCATCGGCGAATTGAGCTTAATTCTACATCTTAAGCTTCGGATCTTCGCCAATTGGAATGTCGGCATTGTCCAATGGCTCTCCTTCAACTCCCCAATCTCAAATTTCCAGTGATCTTCCGGTAAAGTTCTTATTCCCATTATCGCTCCACTGTTTATTCAATTGCGTTTTAATTGAATTGGGAATTGGATTGATGATTCTTTGTTTTGTTCAAAATTAAATTGGGGATGAGGTTGGAGCTTTGAGTATTGATTTTATTGCTCCTATGGAGCGAGTGATCAGCTCCATTGTTTTTCTTGGAGCTCATTCAAGGCTAAGGGTTAACGCATTTTGTGAAATTACGGTATAAAACTATGCTGTAGGTTTCTTTGTAAAAATTTGCCAGCTATGCCCTTTATCATTCGCTTCAGTTTTTGGTATACTACAGTATATGGTGATACATTATGAATTTCGCGTCTAATTTGTGTTTTTGTCGTTTGGTTGGTGGCACATTGACTCAAGTGTAAGGGATGGTTTGCGTCTTCCCAGACAGGGACTGCAACAGCCTTGGGGCTTTATGATTAAACCAGCCAGTTGATGATTGACCTCAGTGCAGCAAACAGTAACAAATTTAAAGTAAAATGGGAAACTTTGCAGAACTTAAGGGATCAAATGAAGAATAATCATTGAGCAGGCACCATTACTTCCTTGAATGTGAATCTAGTCACGGCACCAGATTAAAATGGAGAAGGGAATCCCTAACCTCCTAATCAACTAATCTCTATGGGAAGGAGTGACTAACATTGGAAAACTAACTGTGGACTGATTTTCCCTTATTAACCTGACTAATTTGAGTTGTTTCCAATTGACTTGTAGGTTAATATGTTAAATTACATTGGAACCGATAGTAGGATTGTGGTAGTTAATTCAGGATTTTCAATGTGCTGAATGGTCATCAAGGGAAGCATGCTACTCTGTTGTCTAAGTGCAACTATCTTCTTGTTCTCCTTTTGAAAGAAGATCTTCGTCTTCTTCTCTTTCTAGTTGGTCTTACATTTTTTTGATTCCATTGAGTATGATGATCTATCCCATCTCTTAATTGGACCTATTTTTATTGGAATGACCCTTTGCTCCAAATTACGAGATGGCGTTTAAAAATTGTCTTATTTGAGTTGTCTTAATGACGGTGTTGGAATAGTTGAGGCGTCCACAAGACACCACCGCTATAAAAGAGATGACAGTGTTGGAAGTTGGGTGTGGTGTAGATTCTTGGTCTCTTGGTCTTTGAGTTTCACATATTATGATTTAAGACCACATCCGTTGACAATTTATGTGTAAAACCATAGTTATCTTTTCATACTATTTTTAAATTTCTTAGGGTTATTTCTTTCCCCAAGTCTGATTCCACAAGGTCTTCTTAAAATTATTTTCTTGTTCTCAAATCCTTTTGCTTATCAATTATGCCGGTGGCGTGCAGTTTTGACTTTAGGACAGGAAAACTATTTATCTTAATCTCTTTCTTCCATGTTTGTCATTTTCTAGCCACCCTTAGTTATATAGTCATATTTCCATTTGTGACTCATTGTATCATTAAATGATATACTGCTCTGGACAGAATGATGCACCAGAAGGAACACCTGTAGAAACTGATGAAGTATTATTAGTTATTGAATCTTTGAAAAAAAGAGCTGCTTCTAGACGTGCTGATTATGTTAAGGTGTGTTTTCTCTATTGTACTTTTGCTCCCACTTTCCCCATTGCTTGGTTGTGTATCTCGATCAAAGTACTTATACAATGTTTTAACAACCAATGGAGCTGTACTGTTCTCCTTTCAGAAAAGGGCAGAAGAAAATGCACAAAAGTTGGATGATGTGACAAAAAATCTTTTTAAGTTGTCAACGGAGAGAAGAAATCTTATAGTTCATGGTGCGGATATAAGTGTTGATCTTTTATCTAAGAGGAAGCAGGGTGCAATATATATGCAAAATGGGATTCAAACCAACAAGGGGGATAGTGATAGCAATGGTTCTGAAGATGATGGATATGCCTCTTCTACAATTCTTCTAGGATCTAGTATTGCTGTCAAAGATGCCGTGCATCCCATAAAACTTCCTGAAGTGAAAAGACTACCTCCATTTACTACATGGATATTTTTGGATAGGTGTGTTAAATTGCCTAGTAGATAAATCGTATGGTATTCATGTTTGATTTGTGCCTCTTCTTTTCCTTATCTACCCATTTTTATCTTGCTTCATATACATAAGGTTCTTCCATCACTTTGTGTATGGCATGCCGTGGGATCTCATAAATGTCTAACCACTTGTTTCCTTGATCATCTTCAAATTGCAATTGGTCAATTGTTTCCTTTACAAATTACGGTATTAGGGGTGAACAGTTGCATCCGATGATACAATGAATGTATTGACAGCAACATTGAACCACCTATCCTCACCCTTTATAAAGGCTTAGTTCTTAACGTCTTGTATTGATTACCATTGAACTTTACTTCCATCTGCTTCTAGACTTTCTTCTGTACAGTTAATGATCCTATAGGCTCTCGATTTTTTTTATTTATATTATTATTATTATTATTGTTATTATTATTAGTATTTTTTTTTCCGCATTATGCCATTTCATTTGATGCCTGTTCTCATAAGGAGATGGATTGATCTACTTGATCAGTAAGACAATGGAATTTAAGTGGTTTTTGTATCAAATGGTTTTCCTCCTGGGTGGGAATGACTTTGATCATGTTATTATCTTTTCACTTTAAGTTTCCAACAACATATGACAGCATGATTCTCATACTTGTAAAAGTCCGAGATTTATTCATTCTTCTTCATGATTATTTTTTTCTTCTATTATTACTTTAATTTTTCCGTTACATAGAGAGATAGGGAAAGGAAAGAAGGTAGTGAGAATCAAACCCACACCTATTGCATGGAATATGGCCACTGATATCACTTAGACTATAAGCTGGTGGTCTTGCTATTTTAAAATTGTTCTGATCATACTTTGAGTGGTGCAGAAATCAGAGGATGACTGAGGATCAATCGGTGGTTGGTCGTAGAAGAATTTATTATGACCAAAATGGTGGAGAAGCTCTAATTTGCAGTGACAGCGAGGAAGAACTACTTGACGATGAAGAAGAAAAAAGGGAGTTTGTGGAGTCTGAAGATTTTATGCTGCGGTTGGTATAATTAACCTACAAGAAATACTGAATTCAATTGTCTCCTTCTGTAATATTTCTTTTTCTGTTGTTTTAGAGCTTAGGTAAGTCATCTCAGAGAATGTTCTTTCCACACGAAGCTATGGGGTCATGTTTGGTAGAGCAGCAAAACTTTTGGTCCATTGCTGGATCATAAGCACATTACCACATGACAACCAGATCAATATTTTCTTGGGGTCTAGTTCAGTATTTGGATAGAGAATATGCCCTGATATGTTGTAGTAGTTATACATACAACAACAACAACATACCCAGTATTATCCCACATCGTGGGGTCGGGTAGTGTGTACGTATGTATATATAGTAATATGTTGTATATATGTTATTCCGGTCTTTCTTTAATAGTAGTGCTGCCTTATTATTTGCATACAACTATGAGTTCACTGCCACTTTTCAGATCTTACACTATCTAACTGTAGTATAGATTATTGTTCTGTTGATGTTGAAACGTATCTCTTCTGTTTGTCCTTTCTCTTAACTACTGTGCCATTCATCTTCTTGATCACTTAATATGATGAAGCAGTTTCTTAAAAACTGAATTTCTTTCACAAAGATCCCCTTTGAAACTCATTCTAGGAGGTTTCTACTTGCAGACATATGAAAGATGTTTAAATTTTAAATATCAAGGGTGTAGAAGTAATATGGAAACCCGGTTCCCAAGGTATTGAGGTTGGAGCATGGCTTAAAAGATTTTCACTATGCTCTGCTATTTGTGGCTAGACTGTTTGCTAATGTAGAACTTTTTCTGGCACTTTATATTTGTGCTATCTCCTCCAATTATGTGGCTAACATGATGTATCTTTGTTTGCTTATTTGCAGTATGGCTATCAAAAAAGTTGGCTTGTCTGACAGAGTGTTAGATTTGCTAGGACAGTGCTTGTCTAGAAAACCCAGTGAAGTCAAAGTACGCCCTTGGTTTAGAGAATTATTAGACTTCGTTTTTAAGCATTCATTATCTAATAAAAGCTGGTGATAGTGCGAACTCTTGTCCAGCTGTTTCCCATTTGGTTTTTGCTGGCTTTGCTGAGATAAACCACCATAAAACATCTTACACAGGCAAGATATGAAGATCTTGTGAAGGAAGAAAATGCATGCACTTCAAGGAATGAGAACATCGAAGGCACTCTAAATTTATTTCTTGACAAAGCTCTTGATGTTGCTCTGGATTCTTTTGACAACCTATTTTGTCGTCGGTGCCTTGTATGTATCTATCGGTGGTTCCTCCTTGACTTCTTGTCTTTCATTTAGTCTTTCATATTATTTGTTTGTCTGCCTGGTTTTATTGCTTGATACTAATTCCTTCTGAATACAGTTCTCTTACTTTTGTCTTGTTTTGCCCTCACTTGCAGGTTTTTGATTGTAGATTACATGGATGTTCACAGGATCTGATTTTTGCAGTACGTGAATGGTCATTTAACCAATTGTTTTCATAGCTTAGAACTTTGCGCAGTAGACATGGATGCTTACAGTGTCTTTTACTCCTTAATTCATTAGGCTGAAAAACAATTACCATGGTACTCTCTCGACATGGATACGGAGCCCTGTGGCCCAAGTTGCTGTCACCTGGTATCTGGATCTTCTTTTATATAATTTCTGATATCAATTTTTGGCCTGACGTGAATTTTTTTGTTTATGAACAAGTATCATTTCTTAGTGTGGTCTGTGCTTGTTTCTGATCCTGATGTGGCAACAGTACCTACTAACACTTGTGAGCTCTTTTATTCATCTCAGGCCATGAAGAAGGAAAGAAAAGCTGGATTTACCTCCTCTCAGCTTGCTAATCATGGAGAAAACCCTGTCCGATCATCTGAAGTTGCTAATATTCATGTGCCAGGTAGAAAGCATCTGTCAAGGAGATCAAAGTCTTGCCAAAGCGAAAGTGCTTCATCGAATGCAAAGAATATCTCTGAAAGCAGTGATTCAGAGATTAAGCCTTCAAGTAACATCTCTTCTGTTCAGCATTCTGCTTCTCCATCTAACAAAAAATCTGATAGTAAAGTGGGGAGCAACAAAAGGAACAACAAGAGAATAGCTGAACATGCTGTAGTTGCCATTAAGAAGCGACAGAAGAAAATGATAGCTGCGGAGTCTGGCTCTGTGGCTTCTGGAAGTCTAGCGTCTAAAGACTTGAATCCCAGCTCTAACTCAGGTAAGGATGTCGAAGATGTTAGTTTATCTTCACCAAAAGCACCATCTCATAGTGGTAGAAGGTCTAGGAGTAAAGGCTCTCCAGTATTGGTTAGTAAAAATTCTTTGCAAGGTGAGGGTTTCAGTTGCCAATATAAAGACGCTACCAGCGAAGAACGTGGGATGAATTGTGACGACACATTGAGGAAAAATGAGTTTGTGGATGAGAATAACTGCAAACAAGAAATAGATGGTGACATATCTTGGAGACCACTTGAAAAGGCTCTCTTTGAGAAAGGTGTGGAAATGTTTGGCAGGAGCAGGTCAGTTAACTTCAAGTTACTCTTCGCAATCATGTCTACTCTTGCTCTTGTCAGTTCTTTGGCTTGCATATACTTCGTTTCTCAACATTGTCTGTTGTGTAATATCTTCTTAAATTATTCTCTTGAATACTGCCTAACTTTTGTCTATGAAGAAACTCTTGTGCTAGCTTTTTAATCAAATGCCTTCATGCTAAGCAAACTAGAACCTGCATAATGAAAATATCAAGAGGACTTTTCTCATTTGATCTGATCGTGTGCTTTCAGTTCTTGTTTCACTTGTCAATACTCCTCCTAGACGAGTGAATATGCTGACTTTTGTTTGCTTAATGTGATAGATTGGTTCTTTGTTAGTTAATACAAAAGCCATTTGCACTCTGCACTCACTGTTCAGCATGCAAGTTCACCCGGTCTACTTGATTTCTTGTCAATTCACTATCTTGACCATTTTGTGGGTGCCTAAGTCTAGTTGTTTATTAGGATATTGAATCACTGCAGATAAGTTATTGCCTTCCTATAGTATTTTTCAAGCCTTAAATGAAGAAATAAGTACACATTCTAGAGTTGGATCTGTGCAGGAAAGAAGACATCTCTGCTAGGATACTATTGAATAAGTCATTATTCCTGCTCTAAACCTCACCTCACTTACAACTAGTATTTTGCTTTTTATCTTGATTTGTATTCATAACGACCCATAAAGTGGCAACTTCACTGGCTGAGAGTTAACCCTAGTTTAAGCTGATTGGTCTAGTTTTCATGACATGAATTGAGTCAAATATAAGAGCATTGCGGACTAGGAGAAGCCAGTCTAAGTTGTTCATCTAATGCAGCAACCTACTTTATGAACCCCTTCCTTAGTCTTTTAATTTGTAATGTCTAATATTGCATATTGAAAGTTCGTTCTCCTTTTTCTCTCTTCACTTTAGTGATTCTTAACCTGACTTGAGCATGTTATTTGTCATACAGCTGTATGATTGCTCGAAATATGATGAATGGTTTGAAAACTTGTTGGGAGGTGTTCCAGTACATGAACAATTTCGGGAATAAGCTATCAGGATTAGGTGATGGGGTGAATGGAATGCTTGAAGGCTCTTCCAAGGGTGACGGCCAAACAATCATGGTCAGTATATTTGAATTTGACCTTGTTCATCAGCATGTTGCTTTGTGTTCTTCTTGATGAATAGTACTCCCTCCGTCCACAATAAGTGACCATTTTACTTTTTTATTTTGGTCCAATATAAGTGTTTATTTACATAATCAAGAAGGATTAATTTTATTTTTCCAAAATTTGCCCTTATTTACATATTCCAATGTGTATAACAATTAATTAAGTTTACTTTAGTGAATACATCTTTTTTTCTCTAGGAGTTTGTATTTCCTTTGTGGACCGGAGGGAGTAGTAATATTATTATCTCCACTTTGGTTGATCCTATTCCGAATTCAACTTTAGGGTAATCAAGCACGGAGAAGATCCAGATTTTTGCGTAGAAGAGGTAAAGTTCGTCGCTCAAAATACACGTGGAAGTCAGCTGGATATCATGCAACTAGGAAATGGATCTCTGAGAGGAAAGATAAGCCTTGTCGGCAGTATAATCCATGTAATTGTCAAGCACCGTGCGGAAAGGAGTGCCCCTGCATCGTAAATGGAACCTGCTGTGAAAAATACTGTGGGTAAGCCAGCATTCTTCTCTACAAACTTCAGTGAGAGAATACTGTAGGACCTGGACTATTAATGTCCTTTTAGAGTGCACAATGCTTTACCAATTTTATTGCCTTCTGTGGTTTGTCTTCTATTTTCTTTTGCTGTCTCTTAAACATCTTTTTGATTGCAGATTTCGTGCCTATTAATTAGTTCTGTTTTGACACTTTGTCAATCTTATGTTCTAGATGCCAAAAGAGTTGCAAGAATAAATTCCGTGGCTGTCATTGTGCCAAAAGTCAGTGTAGAAGCAGGCAATGCCCTTGCTTTGCTGCAGACAGGGAATGTGATCCTGATGTTTGTCGAAATTGTTGGATCAGGTGAGCTCCTGGTAGTGCTATGGAATTATTTTCTGTTTTTCTCTAGTTTTACAGAAGTATTTCTAGTGCCCACTGCCCATGTTATTGTTGTATCTCGTGTTACTGGAAGTTGCTAATTTCCACACATGTAGTGTTTTTAAGTTCTCGTGTCGTCCCTCCAAACTCTCCATCTTTATCCAAAGCCTAATCTTATTTTTTCAGTTTGCATGTGTCAACTTAAGCACTTAGAATGTTTGTTTGGTTCACAGACTAGTTATCCAGAGATTATAATATATGGATTATCATGTGGTAAATCATTATGAAGGGCTTGATATGTGGTGCATAATTATGAAGGGACTGTTATGCTGTGAATAACGATATGGATTATTGTTAGGTTGTTATGCAAGGATTATCTAGTTTAAGGGTATTTTATCAATAGATACTTTTATTAATGTGCAGTTAATATATGTGGTCTTATTCTAAATTCTTTAGAAGTACAACTATGCCTCTATCCAAGCATGTTGGATTTGGCAATATGAATCCTTGCTTACCATACTGCTCCATTTAAGCTCATCTTAGACTATTCTAAAGTCTATCCTGATATAAAATAATACGTGGATTCTTGGAGAGTTTAATACCTAAAACCAGAAGCTGCATTGGTTATGCAGCATTTTATACCAGAAAACAAAATTTATATTAAATTTCAGACGTTACATTAGTAATCCTACTTTTGTGTTGCAAATCAAACATTGTATTAGTCATGCAAAATTTTATGCCAGGGTTATTTTCCATTGTGCGACCAAGCAACTGACCCCTAAAAGTTTAAGCTATTACTACAAAATCACTGTTTATCTTCATTATTCTACCATACATAACCAAACCGTCTATGTAACAATTGTGTAACTTTTTCTCTCCCTAAATTGGACAATATTTTCTTTTTGACAAGGTAAATGAACAACTTTATTGATAATTATTAATTGCTGAGCAAGTGACAACTGACGAACAGCCCTTCCAGGCTTGAGTGAACATCAGCATCAATTTATCTTTCATAATGAGCTAATTTATTCATTTTAATATCCTTCATCTTCTGTCGCAAAAAAATCATATGCCGTGTTATTTGGCTCTTGCAGTTGTGGTGATGGGTCTCTAGGTATTCCTTCACAAAGAGGTGACAATTATGAATGCAAGAACATGAAGCTTCTTCTCAAACAACAACAAAGTGTAATTATCTCTATTTGTTTATACATTTAATTATTTGTGAGGGATAGTTGTTAGTTCTCGTTGAAGTTGGTGGTTGCCACGAAGCCAAGTGATTGTTATTTGTTCCTCCTTTTTCTATTCTCCAAGTTTAATTAGAGGGAGAAATTTTGAATTTGGCATTACCAGTTCTAGGTTTTGGGTATTGACCAATCTTTTCGGTGGATACCTCTACTTCATGTCACATATTATGTTTAACTCTAATGTGTTCTTAAATTATACGAAAATCGTCTCGCTATTTTTGTTTTCATCATTGTTTTGGTTAGATTGTTGAGTCATGTCTTCTCTGTAGGATACTTACTGTCTCGTTCTTAGTTCATATGCCACTTTTTTTACTTGTTCTCGTAGTACCTTTCTATAATGTTCAATTCTATTGCAATTTGGTAATTTGCTGAATTTGCCCCCTTGTTTACTATAGTTGATCTTATCCTGCTGATACTTTAAAGCTGTCAATGTGATCACAAATTTCATGTAAAAATTTAAGAAGATCCGTGAAGAAAATGGACCTTAGAACTAATTCAACCCCACAAGTTAGTTCATGAACTCACCCAGTGTTATTAAAAGCCATTGCTTCGTCGCATAAAGTGATAAAGAGATGCTATGCAAGTTAGCGCATCATGGATGGAGCCATGCGCTTCAAAGAAGTGTGTCTTCAAACAATGACATGCTAAGTGATCCCACAAGCATTTGATTCTTTGAATTTCAAATTTGAAGAGCTGGATTGATATCGGCATTATTGTGTATAAGATGTTGAATTAGTTATTTTAATTGCAACTTGATTATTATTGTCATATCCAGGACTAGACATTTGGAGCATAGACACCATAATATGATAGCCCAACATTAGTAAACCAAGAATATGGATGACAGGATGAGTTTGGCTCAGATACCATGTGAAGAAATGAACCTTTGAACCTAACTCAATGTCGAAAGTTAGCTCATGAGATGAAGATTGTCCAACACCATAAAATGAGACCACCTAAACCCTTAATCAATGTGGGACATTTTAGCAAAGAGAAAGATGGAGATACGCTGAGATCACTTTTATGGATCAAACTTAATGTGAAGATTTGCTTATAAGTTTAGTACATTTTCATGCTTTTGGCAGTATCTTAATTGTGGATTTCATTGTGAGACATTGTAATGAATAAAGTTGAAAAAGATATAGTTGTAAATAATTTAGTTGTTTATAATATCAGTTGAGGGTCTTGTGAGGTTTAAAAAAGGTGATCCTCCTTTTTCTTTTTTCACCCTTTCCGTGCATGTATTTGTTTTAGAACTGGTCTAGTGTAAGAATGAAGGTCGTCAAATTCCAGCTGTTGGCTAATCCTAAAACCTTACATTAATCTGCAGGTTCTTCTTGGAAGATCTGATGTGTCTGGCTGGGGAGCTTTCTTGAAGGTAATATCCAAGAACAGTGTTATGCTTTTTCTGTGTATATCTGCAGATCCTTGTTGTTTTTGTGCTCATGTTTAGCATTAACAGAATAGTGTTGGAAAGCACGAATACCTTGGGGAGTATACTGGTGAAATAATCTCACACCATGAAGCTGATAAGCGTGGAAAGATCTATGATCGTGAAAATTCTTCATTTCTCTTCAATTTGAATAATCAGGCATGAGAAATGACTTGCCCTCGGTACCTCGTTAAGTTATTCCTTAGGGTCAGGGCCTCAACTGTGGTCTTACGTGAATCACTTGTCTTGTTCATATGCAGTTTGTGCTTGATGCTCATCGGAAAGGTGATAAGTTGAAGTTTGCTAACCATTCTCCTGATCCAAATTGCTATGCCAAGGTAATTGCTGAAATTTGCATAGGCATTTCCAGGACAGGTTTGCCTATGGTAAACGCAATAATGCTCAGCTAACTCTTTGACAGGTCATTATGGTGGCTGGAGATCACAGAGTTGGTATATTTGCCAAAGAAAGAATGTCTGCAGGAGAGGAACTCTTCTATGATTATCATTATGCGCCTGATCGAGCACCTGCCTGGGCAAGAAAGCCCGAGGCATCTGGTTCTAAGAAAGAGTATGCTGCTCCTTCAAGCGGCCGTGCTAAGAAGCATACATAATGAGCATTGATTTAGTGATTGATTGGTTCATTCTTTTTGCATCATAATATCATCTACATTGGCTATTTGATTGACTTGCGATCATTTCGTTGGCGTAGACTGGAGAGACCCATTGCCATCTCCAGTATTATTAATCAGATTCTGTTTTTTTAATCTTTGGCTAGGCTGCTTTCAGCGCCGAGTGTAATCTTTTAGCGGGAATATGATTACAGGCTTACTGATCTCAATTTCATGGTTTTCATGTAAAACAAGACAAAGTTGTAGACGTTTATTTATTTGCCTAAATCTGAGTGGAACTCATTTCTGGGAGCAAATAGAGGTCATGACATGAATTTCTTGCTGATATTTCTGCTGCCATAGCAATTTACTCGCACTCTATGTTTATATCAAATTATAAATGCATAGTGTGTGCGCACTTAAAATTTTGTGAGTATACCATAGTCGACTAATATACTTTCTCATCTTATTCTATTATCTTATGATAAGTTAATATAATTTGGTTTAAATATCAGAGGTGATTAAGTATTTTTTTTTAATGATAGCTGATCTTGGTTTTGGTCAAACTCGTGAACTTTGTTGAACTCGATGCTGGCCTCATGTCTCACCGGTAGCCTAACAGCTTCTACGTGTTTACTTGAGTGAGTTGCCAAATGCTGTTCTGCGTTTGAAGCGTGACTTGGTTGAATTTCGTGTATGCAATCGGGAGATTTTAAGCATCGACTTTCTTAGCTGTTTATATAGGTTTACCGAACTATTCGTTGTACAGAAAGAGGGCGGCGTTTCATTTGAAACACTGACGATAAATAATTGCCCCTTTTTATTAAGCCAACAAAATTAAGCTGTGTCCCACCGGCCACCACCACGCGAAAAGAAAACCCCACTAGAACTTACTCCTATAAAGAAGTGCCGACTTTAATTAGGGACTCAAAATTTTACTAACTAAAATTATGACATTTTTTTCCAAAAATTATCACATAGGGACAGGGAATACGGAAATGCGGATGAGAATATTGTATGGGTCAAAATCTGACCGTAGTGGTCGTCCCCAAGAGGAATGATAAGGGGTCGACCAAACTGTTATCATGCCCAGGTGGCGAGATAGTAAAGAACACCTCGGCCATCGCCGGGGTCAAATCGTCGAAAGCGTACATCATGGAGCAAACACTGTGTTCGAGCAACGACGAAAGGTACAGTCGTAAGAAAGCACGTTGGTCAAAGACCATTGGATATAAAGGGAAAGGAACTATATATATGGGGGCAGAGAGCTCAGAGAATGGGGAGAATTCGGGGAGAGGAGAGCAACCACAACAGAGGAAACAAGAAGAATCTCTCGTTTATCAACAATTACTTCACTTCCCCTTCTTTACTCCCTCGTTTATGATGCATCTCTGCTCTAGATGTAAGCTCATCTCTCGTGTTTGGTGTACGATTATCGCATTAATAAATCTAATACGTTCCTATTCTTCGCTATTTCGCACTTTATATGCTCGGATCTGAAATTATTATGTTTGGCTAAGAATTACCTTCTTTATTATCAATAATTGGTTTGACAAAAGAGTTTTAAACCTTTTGCCCAAATAATTTGGCGCCGTCTGTGGGGATTTCTTAGCCAAATTTCTTAGTTTCCTTCAGATCTAAAACCGGCGAAATGTAACCACCCACTCGAAAGAGTGGTAAGTAAAACTCACATGCTAATCTAGATCAGGATGCTACATAAAAGCAGAAGTTGTAACCAATATCCACGCAAAATCCACATCTCGCCAGTAGCGATGGATTTAGCATGACATACTACAGAGTCCTTCGAAAGAATGGGCACATCCTGCCCTACTTTCACATTCCCCCACACATCGGATGGTCCATGAACGAAGTACGACATGTCTCCCTTGTTGTGGGCACGAATTGAACGAGATCGGACCGGGACTCGATTTCAACACTCCAGCAAGTGAGGCGAGTCCAATCCGTGCAAAGCTTAGACGCTGCCAAAAAAATGGAGCTGAACACGACCGTCAAATCTAAAACCATCATTCCCTCAACCATTCAAACACCAGGCAGAGCAAGGTACAGAAAAATTCATTTTAGTTTACCCTCTGCTGTTGGTTTAAACAAGAACACGAGCGCCGCACGAGCAAGTGAGAAAATGGGCATTCCAACCAGAAACAATGGAAGGAAAACTACTACCAAATAATTAAAATGCCACCCACCTCAAATACCTCAACTCTTGAAAGAGGACACACCTCAAGTCATACTCTTTTTCCCTCACCCAGGTTTCGCTCCGATTGGAATCTCGGGGAAGTTTATAATGGGGCGACGAAGGGGATGTCTCGAAGTTCAAGTATGGTTCATTACCCTGTCTGTTGACCACTTCCCCAGACCGGGCAATGAAGGGACTAGATACATGGAAACTCCTCCAATATATGTATGAAACGAACACGTACAACGCTCCCCAGTGAGTGAAACAACAACATTTTATACTGCCCGACATTGTATTCTCCAATGCAGGCAAAATTAAACAAACTGGGACTTACCCAAGAAACGCATCGTACTCTCCCGCGCAAACAAAATTAAACAAACTGGGACTTACCCAGGAAACGCATCGTACTCTCCAGCGCAAGCAAAATTAAGCAGACTGGGACTCACCCGGGAAACGCAGAAGTTAAGCAAAACTGGGACTCCCCTAGGGAACGCCCAATAATCTCCAGAAAAAACAAAACTGAGTACGCCAGGATTCACTCCGATGTACACACAGACAATATGGTGTCCTGTGATTCTCCAAAAAACAACGGGTTAATATTTCGACCTTAGTTCGAAATAGCACCTCTACGGCCAAGGGCCATCTCCAAAAGAAGGATTCGACCTCGCTCGAATCACAACGGGTTAATATTTTGACCTTAACTCGAAATAACACCCCTACGGCCAAGGGCCATCACCAAAAGAGGAATTCGACCTCGCTCGAATCACAACGGGTTAATATTTCGACCTTAACTCGAAATAACACCTCTACGGCCAAGGGCCATCGCCAAAAGAAGAATTCGACCTCGCTCAAATCACAACGGGTTAATATTTTGACCTTAACTTGAAATAACACCCCTACGGCCAAGGGCCATCGCCAAAAGAAGAATTCGACCTCGCTCGAATCACAACGGGTTAATATTTCGACCTTAACCCGAAATAACACCCCTACGCCCAAGGGCCATCGCCAAAAGAAGAATTCGACCTCGCTCGAATCACGACGTGTTATTATTTTGACCTTAACTCGAAATAACACCTCTATGGCCAAGGGCCATCACCAAAAGAAGAATTCGACCTCGCTCGAATCACAACGGGTTAATATTTCGACCTTAACTCGAAATAACACCCCTACGGCCAAGGGCCATCGCCAAAAGAAGAATTCGAAATCGCTCGAATCACAACGGGTTAATATTTCTACCTTAACTATAAATAACACCCCTACGGCCAAGGGCCATCGCCAAAAGAAGAATTCGACCTCGCTCGAATCGCAACGGGTTAATATTTCGACCTTAACTCGAAATAACACCCTACGGCCAAGGGCCATCGCCAAAAAAAGAATTCGACCTCGCTCGAATCACAACGGGTTAATATTTTGACCTCAGCTCGAAATAACACCCCTATGGCCAAGGGCCATCGCTAAAAGAAAAACTCGGCATCACTTGAATTGCACGGATTAACATTTCGGTCTTACTCGCAATAACGCCTTTGCGTCCATCGGTCGTCGTCAAACAAAAACTTTTTTGTTTCTCGAACTTATCCAAATAAGTTGGAAATTGATCTCTCCAAGTCCCGAGTTCGACCTCGCTCGAATACATATGAAAAGGTCGACTTCGCCTAAATCAACAATTGTGTTCAATCCCCCTCGAATGATTCACATCGAAACTGACTTCGTCCAAAATGACGAATCCGAATTCGACCTCATTTGAATCAAAAATGATTCCGTCTAAAGTGACAAATCAAAAGTCAATCTCGCCCAAATGTGCAAATCCAAAGAAGCTCTATTCGGACTCACACGACGAGACCCTACTCGGTCCAGTTAAAATCGGTTTCCCTAAACGAGAAATCAGGGATTCGCCATAAAAAATTCTGAAGGTCTACGCCAAAGCAAAAAATGTAAAGCAAGGGGAAGGGAGAGAAATACAAAGGACGTACAACGACGAAACAACCCTTTTATTTATACTTGCGCAACGGCCGCACCATATACACGGCCAAAATCGGCCCAAGTACAAAAAGAACAAAGCAAAACAAAAAAAAACATAGACTAAGGCAACAACTTTTCACTCGGCGTCATCACCGCCATCCTCCCCATCATTATCTCCAAGAAATTCCTCCTCAGCATCAACGTCCTCGTCGGCCTCCGGTGTAGTAGGATCGTAGCCGCAGTTGACATGAGCCTCTCGTGCCTTCGCCCGGGCTCCTTCATAAGCGGCCCCAGAAATATTGCCCGCCTTCCACAAACTCTTGTATATGTCCCGTCGGGCCTCGTCATGAACCTAGAGCTCGTGCAAGTGGCGAGGAACAGCAGCAGAGGCAGACTCAACTTGGGCAACAATTGTGCCTTTTCGGCCTCAAGTAGAACGACCGATCTCCCAAGTTTGAAGCTTCCCAGTCAATTTCACCAATGCGCTCTTCAAACCTCGCCTCCCTTAGCATGGCCGTTGCCTTCTCGGATTCCTGCTCGGATTGAAGGACACGGATAGTGTCCTCTAATGCCGCCGTCCTTGCTGAAGCTGACGACCGAGCACTCTCGGTGTTCTCCAACTCGGACACTTTCCTCTCCAGCCCGGCTAAGTTCCCCATCCATTCCGCACTCAAAGCCTCAACTCTAACGGCATTTTGATCGAGCTGATCGGACTGCAACGACAACACCTTCGCCTGAAGATGCTCACACTCTGCGGCGACCCCCTTTCCCAACTCGAGTTCCTCGTCCTTTACACGAAGTAGCTCCTCAAGCTTACTGTTCCTGCGAATGGACTGCATCAGCTCCTGATCCCTTTTCTCCAACTCTGCCCTGAGAGATCGATTACCGGCGCTCGGCCTGAGCCGCTCATGCATCTCACGACACTTGTTGCGGTAGCGCCAATTCTTTTCCAGCATCTTCAAAAAAATCTTGTCCCGAGTCGGCCTTATGAGCACATTCGATCTCCAGCATGTAAGGCTGAAAGCCAAAAATAAAAAGGGAAAGAAAAAAGTCGGTAAAGGCCAAGGCCGCCAGAAACAAAAAGAAAGAAAAGAGGAGAAACTTACCCTCAGGCCCATAGCGGCCACTTCATGCATCAATTCAACGTCACTGGCTTCCTGAAGAGCCTCACACTCTGCGGCAGAGCATAAAAGGTCAAACTACGGTACCAAGCCTTCCGTGTCCCGCAGAGATTAAGCTCCGACGGAATCTCAAGTATATGGGAGGGAGCTCCTGCTGTTACCACAGTACGGGTAAAGCCCTCCTCGAACATCCTGACATCATCGGGATCGAGGTCGGAGTCTGACTCGTAGTCGTCGACCACAACACCCTTTCCCCTCTTTGCATCCGAAGAAGAGGATCGATTCGGTCCGGAAGACAAAGGCCTTCCCAAAGCGGCAACAGTGGCCTCGGGACCCCGACTTCCCGTTACAGTATCTTGTTGATCAATCACAACAGCCGAAGCCTCTGCCGTCGGGTTGGCCCCGTCCACCTGGTTTGCCTCTGCGGTCGGGTTAGCATCACTGCCAGTTTCAGACACCGTCAAGGGAAGGTTGCCCCCCGAAGGGACTGCAGCTGAAGGAGCCACTTCAGACTCCACTCGCTGCCTCTTCAACGAACCCTCCCCGCCATCAGCACGGGAAGATTCACCCGTTGAGCGGGCAAAAAGAGCCGGAGTCTCAATATGAGGAGTAATTTCCATGCACAGGGCCCCGGCTGTAGGAGTAGATTGAGTAGCTCTTGATGTAGGTCGTGCAACGGACCTCGGTGCGGCCCGTGCAGAAGGCATCAGTTGACGCAACGCGAGTGGAGGAGCCCTCGCCCTTTGTACTCTCCCTGTTAAAAGAGAAAAACGATCGTGTAAGCAACAAGATCAAATTAAAAGGCAAAGAACAAGGAAACTGCAACGGGCTGACTTACTAGTGAGAGGCTTACGCCCGTATCTCTCATAAAAGGATGCCCACTCACGGACCCCCGCCTTATGGGGAAGAATAACATTAACCCATTCGCGGATGTCATTAACGGGCGGGGGAGGCAACCTCCCAGCTGCAAATGCAGAAAATGAATTAGCAATGCCACCTCAAGAGGAACGCTCGGCCACCGCCTCGAGGGAAGCCATAAATTAAACAATAGAAAACTTACGGGTGAAGTTCCACGTCTCGGGAAGCTCTGTCGGGTCTGCCAGAAGGTGCTCGGTCCATACGAAGAAATAACTCTCCCAGAAACAACGATTATCCTTGTCGTCCATCTTCACCACCAAACTCTTTGTCCCTCGGTAACGCATGTGGATCATCGAGCCTCGAATAAGTTGGGGAGCAAAAATATTAAGCATATGCCCCAAAGTGACCTCCCGACCGGCGAGCTCTGTGTACTTGAGCAGCATGAGGAAGAGTTTGTACACGTACGGTGAAAGCTGCGCCGGGCACACCTCGTAGAAGCGGCAGAAGTCTATCACTAGGGAGAGAAGCGAAAACGTATACCCAACAACAAAAGGGTACGCGTAGAATGCGCAGTACCCAGGGCGGTGCAGATGCACAATGTCCGTTCCCGTCGCCGGTATCATTTCAATGTGATTCGGAATTCCCCACTTAGTCTTGTGCGCTGCAATCGCCGCTTCATCCATGGTAGATGACGCAGGTTCCGACTCTTCTCCGGCGGGGCTGTTAAAATTATTCCATAATCTCCCCGGACGGGGCAGTATTTCAGTCGCTGTTGGAACCCCCGCATCTTCCGCCGCCTCCGCTCCTTCTCCGAGAACAGGTGCGTCATTTTCCGGCACCGGAGCTTCGACGGGTCTGTCAGTGTGAGAAGAAGTACAAGCCATTTGTTTCGATTAATCGGAATAAATGAGTAAGAGAAAGGGAGAGAGAGAAGATGGTGGCATCAATTTCTGACTGGCAGGAGAATGAACTCAGAAATATGAAGTATTAAAGAAGATAAAGGCTTGCAAAACTCCTTTGATAAGTCGAAAAGTGTGGCAATAGAATGGCGCTTTCCCCTATTTATAGGAACATAAGTGTAATGAGCGGGAAACCCAAGAGCCGCAAATCAAAACTGATAGGGCACAAGAAACGATACGATTCCTAGGAAAGGTGCGCCATAGTGATATTGGCTATTCATGATGCACCAAATTGATACAATGGATCAACTCCGAACGGACGTAACGGTTTGATGGTATCATTGAAGCGTGACACCATCACCTTGACCTAAAGGCCTTGCTCAAGGCGTAAACATTCAGATTTCTCCTAACTTTCGAATCGACAGAGTTCGCCCGTCGAGCCCGTTAAGAGGCGACCTCGACGGACGGAGGGACTAACCGTATGAGTCAAAATCTGACCGTAGTGGTCGTCCCCAAGAGGAATGATAAGGGGTCAACCAAGCTGTAATCATGCCCAGGTGGCGAGATAGCAAAGAACACCTCGGCCATCGTCGGAGTCAAATCGTCGAAAGCGTACATCATGGAGTAAACACTATGTTCGAGCAACGACGAAAGGTACAGTCGTAAGAAAGCACGTTGGTCAAAGACCATTTGATATAAAGGGAAAGGAACTATATATATGGGGGCAGAGAGCTCAGAGAAGGGGGAGAATTCGGGGAGAGGAGAGCAACCACAGCAGAGGAAACAAGAAGAATCTCTCGTTTATCAACAGTTACTTCACTTCCCCTTCTTTACTCCCTCGTTTATGATGCATCTCTGTTCTAGATGTAAGCTCATCTCTCGTGTTTGGTGTACGATTATCACATTAATAAATCTAATACGTTCCTATTCTTCGTTATTTCGTACTTTATATGCTTGAATATGAAATTAATTATGTTTGACTAAGATTTACCTTCTTTATTATCTATAATTAGTTTGACAAAAGAGTTTTAAACCTTTTGCCCAAACAAATACAATGGGGGTATCAGACTCTTATCATTAAGGTTAAAGTTTATGCAGTCACCCAATTGAATTATTAAGATTCCGCAAAATTATGACAATCCTCAGACAGTGAAAAAAAGAAATAAAGAAGACGAAAACTAGGAGCTGAAGGATTAGATCTTTTATGCAATAAAATATGAAATTAGTCCGCTCATTTTATAACAGCTGATGATAGTTACAACCTAAATTGCAATCGTGCGTTATAAGGAAAAAAAGAAAAAAAGAAAAAAAGGAAGAAGGAAATTTACCTTAGGCGTAGATTTGACAGATTTTATCAGTTTTTAAATACAGGAATTGTTATCTATAGATTTTGCTAGTTTTAATTTATATTATAAGTAAAACAATCAATTTTAGCATCTCTGGCCTCATTTGTTTTTTTAAGATTAAGACGTCTGAATCTGAATACACATTTAAATATCAAGATGTGTATTAAGATTAAGACATCTGAATCTGAATACACATATGAATATATTAAAATGTGTATTAAGATCTGAATAGAAATAATTAAGACTGTTTGATTTTTAACATATGAATGTATAAAATTTATCTTTATTTTAAAATTAATAAACATACAAATGAAATACTAACTAATATAACGTTCTATCAATAAAATATATAACTTTTAAAATAGATAGTTGTTGGTGGTGATGGCTAACAGGTGAATGTCGACTAGAGGCGATGGTTGGTGGTAGTTTTGGTTGATGATGGTGGTTCATGCTAGTAGCTAGTAGTGATTGGTAGTGGTGGCGATTATGATTGAGGATGGTGGTGGTGGGTGGTAATAGTTAATAATGGCGGGTGGTGGTAATAGCTGTGACTGAATGGTGGTGGGTGGTGGTAGGTTATAAGATGGGCAATACCGGTTGTGGTTGTTGATGGTGATGGGGGGTGGTCAGTTGTGGTAGTTGAGGTGGATGGGTGTTGATTGTGGGTGAGAATGATGGTGGTCGGAGTGATGTGGATAGTGGGTAGTGATGGTTGATAATGGGGGCGGCTATGATTGAGGATGATGGTGGCGTGGTGGTGATGGTGGTGGTTGAGTATGGTAATGGTGGTGGCATGGTGGTAGTTGATAATGGTAGGCAGTGGCGGCAGTTAATAATGAATATGTGATAGCATCTTAATGAAATTAAATCTCTGTTATAGATCTTAATCATACAGACATATTCAGACCCATTAAGTGGTTGTGAAGTAAAAAAATAAATGCACTTAATGATTAAGATCTGAAGATTTAGACTTTAAAAACAAAAGCACTTAATGTTTGAGATCTGAATGATTAAGATTCAGACCTCCATTAATTACAAATAAATAATTAAGATTCAGACCTCCATTAAGTACAAACAAATAAGAGGGTGTTTGGCTAAGCTTATAAGCTGGTCAAACTGGCTTATAAGCACTTTTTGGCTTATTTACGCGTTTGGTAAAATTAAAAGTGCTTATAAGCCAAAAATAAGCCAAAAGTCATAAGTTGGTCTCCCCAAACTTATCAAATTTCAACTTATAAGCACTTCAAGTTTGACAAAAATATTTACTATTCTATCTCTAAAATACTTCTTTTTAAAACAAAACTCTTCGTATACCGAGTTCTTCAGCTGCTTATTATTAATTTCAAGACTTTTATCCAAACACGTAACCGCTTATTTTTTAAATCAGCTTCAGCACTTAAAATTACTTTTCAGCACCTGATGCTTATCAACTACTCTAGATGAGCTAAGCCAAACAGTATCTAAGCCCGATAGCATTTAGCTAATTGTCCTTGCCTCAAGTAAAACATAACTTAACGGTATTACTAAAGTTGGGTTTAGCACTCTGCAGACAATGATAGATAGAGATGCACAAAAATTGGCATCTTCCTTGTCGTCTCTATAATAATAAATCTCACTGTCTCTAATAACTCTTGACTTTTTTCGCCTTTCTCTTTTCTCTATCTTCTTTTCCCTTTTTCTACATGCGACTGGTTTTTGTTTAATCAAAGATTACTTACTGCTTTCTCTTCAACAACTCCCGTGCTGTCTAAGGAGCACAGTATGTGGAGAAGAAGACACAGCAGAAATTCCAATGGTTACCTTATTTTGTTACTCTGTCACTTAGCTGTCCACTGCGCCAATTCCCAGGTTTCCCTTCTCTTTCTTGCTTTTATTATTCCTTATCTTAAGAGAAAGTATTAAAATGGAAAGAGCTATTTTTGCGGTTTTTATTGTATGAATTCGTGAACCCTATCCGCAGATCCGTGCATTATTTTTTTTCAATTTTCTTTTCTGGGTTTCAGCTGAAATTTGATGAATATTACAGCTTCAGAATTCATGTGCTTCGGCTACGGACTGTGGAGCTGGTTTATACTGTGGTAACTGCCCTGAATTGGGAAAGAATCAGCCTTTTTGCATTAGAGGACAAGCTACTGAACCCACTTCTGTTGTAAGCTACTTGCTTCTTTTTTTTTCTTCTTTATTTACTATGCTCTGAAATTTCTATTTTTTTGAATGAGAGTGATGTGTATATGCGTTTGGACTTGGCAATCGGCAGATCAGTGGATTGCCCTTCAACAAATACTCGTGGCTGGTGACCCATAATGCCTTTTCAATTGTAAATGCACCCTTATTGACTGGCCCTCAGAGAATTACATTCTATAATCAAGAAGACACTGTCACTAACCAATTGAGAGTATGTTGTTCCTTATTCTTGTCCAACTCTATTTTTCAACATTTGTAGACATGTTCCTTGTATGTTGTTTGTAGTTCTTATGTTCATTTCATGTATCTTTGTAGAATGGAGTGAGGGGATTGATGCTGGATATGTACGATTTCGAGAACGATATATGGCTCTGTCACTCGTTTCGTGGCCAATGTTACAACTTCACTGCCTTTGTAATGCTATACAATTCCCTCTCTTCTTTTGCAGTGAGATCCCTTTTTGAGTAGCTCTTCCGATGTTAACACATAAAATGTGCTTTCTTTAGGAACCTGCAATCAACACTTTGAAAGAGGTGGAAGCATTTTTGAGTGCAAATCCTACAGAAATAGTCACCATCATAATTGAGGATTATGTGCATACCCCAAAGGGTTTAACAAGGGTATTTACTGATGCTGGGTTGGACAAGTACTGGTTTCCTGTTTCAAAAATGCCCAAAAAGGGTGACGATTGGCCCACCGTGAATGATATGGTTAAAAAGAATCATCGTTTGTTGGTTTTTACTTCTGATTCTTCAAAGGAAGCTGCTGAAGGAATTGCTTATCAGTGGAGATACATGGTCGAAAATGAGCGTAAGTACTAAATTAATGTGCACTTCTCGGGTGATTCTGGTTTGTGGGTTGGTTCTTTAGTAATCATATATGATAAATGTTTCAGCTGGAGACCCTGGAGTGGTGCCTGGCGCATGCTCCAGCCGCAAGGAATCAAAGCCACTTAATTCCAGAAGCGCCTCTCTGTTTCTAATGAATTACTTTCCCACAGTTGCCGTACAAAACGGGGCCTGCAAAGAGCATTCAACTCAACTAGTTGATACGGTTGGTGCCTGTTTCAAAGCAGCAGGCAACCTGATGCCCAATTACGTGGCAGTAAACTTTTACATGGTATTAAAATATTTACTGGTTAATGATGCTAATTCAATTTACTAGTATAAATTTTCAACATTGACTGATGAAAAAAGAATATTCCTGCAGAGAAGTGATGGAGGAGGAGTTTTTGATGTTTTAGATCGAATGAACGGTCAGACACTATGTGGTTGCCCGACGGTCACGGCATGCCAGGTTTATCCATCTTTTCTCAAATATTGATATTTGGATAATCGTTTTAGAACTGTAAACACATGTCTATGTAGCAAAGGCTCACTGTATGAAGAGATTTAGGAGGAAGAACCATGATTGAACTTTATTAGCAGATCCTGTGTTTGAATTATGTGGCCTGTAAGTGATACATATCTTCAATTCGATAGTAGAGAAAGTAATCTACTTCAGTCTAGAATAAAAAGTTGAGAAGTCCACAATAAGAAATAGCTTCTGAAGAAAGCTTCAAGACGAGAAATAGCATTACTACTTAAGTGATTATAATCAGATAACAGGAGCTTGAAACATCAATTGCAACTTCTGTTCCTGTGAATCTAAACAAATTTGGCATAGTATTCACTGCATGGGCAAAAGTTACTCAATGGATAAGTAGTTGGTGTAGCCCATGACATTTTAACATTCCACTTGCATCAACGGATTTCTTTTTTACAAATTAGTAGGATAGTTAACTAATGTCGTTTTGCTTCTATATGGCCAAAAAGCTCTTTTTAAGGATGTTGTCTTCCTTGTCTCTTTAACTGTCTCTCAAAATAAAAACTTGCAAGGTTTTATGAGAATACAACTCATGACCTTAAAATGAGTTGATTAGTGGTGTGATCAGTTTATACTTATGTTAATATAATTTCAAAAGATTTGTGCAGGAAGGATATTTGCATGAACCAAGAAAATCTCTAACATTGACCTGGTTACATTGCTTCTAAATGGTTATTATGATAAAAAAGCTTTTGCCGTCATGGATATTGCAAACATCCTGAGGGATCTATTAGAAATAGATTTAAGCTTATAGAGTTTTGTTGGTTAAACAATTCTTCAAAATATAGGGTCATCACTGAGATTCTCGGCAGCAGTAAGGACATATCTCAATATAAAAACCCACCATCTACTTGACAGTTTCTTCTCAAATGACATATCTGAAAAAGTGTCATTACCACGCTGTTGGTTCCAAATGAAATGTCTTTGCTTGGTTTTACTTGTTTTATTAAGAGAAAAGTTGAAACAGTGAATTGTGTATGTTTATTGTAGGCATACATGAGAGCATAAGTTTACTTTTCAACTTATGCTTAAATGGACTTTCTTTTTGCAGGCGGGAGAACGTTTTGGAGTTTGTAGGAATATTACTGCAGCGAATGCAGCTCCAACAGCAACCAACGCTGCTGGAAGTTTTTCTGGGTCTGTGCAATTAACAGGCCATGCTTCAGCAATCCATTTTTCTAGAATCATATACCTATTTTCATTGTCTTCTGTAATCCTTTTGTATATATTTTGAGAAGAAGAAAAGAGTTTCAGGCAGACGTTTCCATCAGTTTCATCCACGGATGCTCGATTTCTACTATATTTTCCTGTGTAGATTTTTGGAGTCGGAATAGGTACCGTATACACTAGAGTCCCACTTCGGCATGTTAGAACAAAGAACATTCAGCTTGAAGTTTGTTCTCCTAGTCAAAAAGAACTTGTAATTTTATGGAGGAGTTTGACATAGAAGTAGGCATTGGGTTGCAGAAGAATATTCAACATGTAACAGGTAATTTTATTACATCCCAGGTCATCTTCTAGCTGCCAGTTCTTTTCCTTTGATATGTTTACAATGGTGGTATATTTTTCAAGTGGATTTTTGTTAGTTTCCGGTATGAAAATGTGACTTTCTCCAGTCATATTAATAAGTGACTTTGTGAGTTGTGAAATGCTCTGCTTCCGCTCTGAGTTTCTTGAATTAGTTTGATTATTGAAGATGCTTGATTTGGAGGAGGTGACAACTGAAAATTCTAAGGCAATTCAGCTATTTTCATTTGATTTGCAGTTGGGTGGTTACTGCTTTTAACAATGTGACAGTGATCTTGTTACCAGACCAAGACTGGAGTGGTTCCAACATTTTTGCCTGGTTTCAATATATGTGGTTTTTCCTTGGGGAGAATTTGTTTAGTCATTTTGTGGGGTTGACACTATGGCTCTATGGAAAGTTTCAGAAGAGATACCATTTCTAAATTATTATCTACCTTATGCTTTGAGACAAAAGATTGCTGGCATGTAATAGTAGAGGAGGATAACATGGAGCATATAGAATGGTATTTAGTGATGGTTGGCAAAAAATGAAAATAAAGGCTAGGGTCTAGTATAAAATATGTGGAGATGGAGTGAGAGTAATGTGAGTAAAAACTCTTAGTAAAGTGATTTACATATATACTTAAATGATGTGAGGGGTTTTCCTTATTTGTTCTCAGATATTTCTTCTTTAAAAAGTATCTTCAACACAGTTTAAGAATGTTCAAGCACTAAGGAATGATTTCACGATTGATGATGCATTCAAATCACTTTCTGGTTAAGTATCTAACACCAAGTGGAGCTTACAAAATTTTATGGTACTTGTTTGGTGGACTAGTTTGTACTCTTTCTCAAGGCGTATCATGTTCCTCGTCTTTGCTACCTAAAGTCTTAACATGCTTTAGATTTTATACTGTCATTGCATATAAGTTAAACTTTTTATTTATGAGTGAACTTTTCTCTGATGCCCAAATTCTTCGTTATCTCCTCTTCAGGTTATTATTCAGGGCAGTTCAGGTGTAAAAACTAGCGGAATGTATTAGTTGTGTTCAATGAATGATAAGTGTCAATCATGCAAAATCTTTTTCTTTCTCTTCGGAGCTTCTGCCTGCGGTGCAATCACTATCACAATTATGCAGTAGAGCCACTTTCCAGCTTTGAGTAATGTGACTAGTCACATGTTAGACCACTATAATGGAGTGCTACAATAAGGTTGACATTATTATGCCAGTGGAATCATTGTTTGTTTAAAGCATTATACAAATCCTAAATGTCGCCACTTGTTGAAGATGATATTTCAGTGGTGGTAAGGGCACGTTTTACTAATAAGAGACGCATGCAGGTTTGTTGTGTCTGCCTCTCTGAGCCCTCGAGTTAAAAAGAAGAGTTTAAGTTCTATAGACGAATGGCGTAATTATTGATAAAATCAGCTGAATTGTAAAGTAATTATTGGTAAAATTTTATGATAAAATTAACTGAGCTTAAACCTAAATCTCACCTTTCTTCTCCCCCTCCCCAAATTCCAACCACCCGCCTCTTGGGGCATTTGAGTATTTTGACTGATGTCTTTCACTAGTCTTTCACTTGTAAGAAGATGGATTTTTAAGTAGTCAAGAATTAATATTTCGGTGCAGGACCAGAACCAGAGTTTGAAATGAATCATCTGACAAGCAGAAAAATGGCCTTTAAATGTTTATAGCAGAAAGGAGGATCTCTTCATTAATACAAAGGAGAATCACAAAAACAATGTTACAATTGGCAAGCTGTACATAAGATATAGTTGCAATCACATAGAAGGCTCCTCAGAAGACAGCAATATTAGGCAGCATTCCTTTAGGTTGTATCTGTAAAGCTGGGCTAATAGTGAGTAGGCCAATAAAGCAGTCCACAGTAACCCTCATGCCCCATGCATTTATAGACTCTAGTTTGCGGCATTTATTTACCAAAGCTAGAAGTCCATTCTCAGTTACATGACGGCAGCCCCACAGCACAATAGTCTGCAAAAGAGATGCACAAGTATTACACTAGTATTCTTTAAAAACCGAGTGAATGGATAAATTTTGTGAATTACATCTTAATATAGTGATTGATACACCCAGATTGGCGGGCGAGAAGGTAAATAAAGAAATTTGTAGAAGTTGCAACCTTAAGGTGTGGAAATTACCTTCAAGTGTGGGCAGCTACCAGCAATAGCAAACAAGGATATGTCTGTTATAAATGTACCGCCAATATTCAGATGCTGTAGAGAAGAAGCTCTGGAGATCTAACCAAAAAAATCAAAACTATACTTAAAACTTTTCATAAGCAGCTAAGTATAGGACAGGAAAAACCTCATTGTTACAAATTGCAATGCATGGGTAATGGCAACAACACAGACCTTTCAAGTGCAATGTTTGAAAAAGGATGGCTTTCTAGAGCCAGATAATTTACAGATATTCCAAAGTTTGATTTTGTATTTATGTAATATATGTGATAGAAAGATGAGATTGGGACTCCCATAAGATCCCCGCAAATGAAGTGCTTATAACCCGAGGATAACATACCAGCTGAACAACACCTGTATCCGTGATCCCGGTAGTGCCCCATAAAGATAGTGATGACAGATTGCTAATACATCTAGCAGTGGACAATTGGTACAGCCCACGATCCGTTATTTGACAACCCCAACGGCTCCTTGAGCTGAAGAAAGCAAACAAGTCAGAACAGTACAACAAACAAGTGTCTTCCCCTATTCATCACTAGCCACATTCATGTTATCACTGACATGATCCAAAGTTGAAACAACCAAAAAGGTTTGCAAACATTTGTGCACTGACATTTACTCGCCATACTTTGCCTTTGTTATTTGTTAGTATCTTACATTGATTCTGAACATTGCAAAAATACCTCTAAGTTTGATTACATATGCTTCAGGCTGGTTAAGAAAGAACGGGATTCATATGTAAAGACCAATAAGAATAGCCATACCGCAATTGCGTCTTCCAGCAAATAGGATCTCATTAAGAGCTCCAAATATATCGATGGCTGGCTCTTTAATACCAGCAACTCAAGCTGCATGATTAGATGTCTTCATCGATCTAGTGGTTATTGTATCACTGCTCAGAGAGTGAGCAGCTGCAGGTACATGGGCGGATGTAGCCTTCCGGCTATGGGTTCAACTGAACCCACAACTTTCAACATCAAGTATGAATTTATATGCAAAAACTTACTAAAATCTCAACAAGTATAACTTTAACAGTACAATGAGTTCAATGCTAAGATGAATCCATTAAATTTAAATTCTAGATTTGCTTTTTGATTGATTCTGAATTAAAGAATTCAGAATAAAGGGGCTCGCTTTGCCCGTTAAGAGTAGGTAACCCGTTCCCTGTCTTTGTTGTGGATGTATAATGATTTTGTGGATCTATTAACGCCACAAAGTCAAGACCTAGCCAGATTTTCAAATATTGAAGAGCACGGCTTTATGGTTTTACTCTATCCTACTTGACATAGATAAAAAGAGAAAATGATTGCTCTGATTGCTGAAGTTGAGAAGAACACAATGAATGGTGTAAGCGGCGATACAGAAGATTCAATGAGTCTTAGTGAAACTAAGTCACTACTTCTTCAGACAACTTTTTGTCACTAATATAAGCATTCTCATTTCTGATATATTAAAAGCCTTATTTGAATCAATCATTTAGAGAGAGTGATATAAAGACCTCGGACTCCTAATGCAGCTGACAGAGCCTGTATTTTATCATAAATTGACAAGTGTAATCATAATTGATCAAGGTTTTATGTAAAAGAGTATAAGATGAGATGAAATAAATTTACTTAAAAAAATAAAAGTCATACATATCTAGTTCCTTGAGACTGTAAGCAAGAAGAACGAGGCGAGTGGTAGAATCATCATCCACTTTCCAGCCAGAAAAACTCAAAATTTGTCTTCTAGCTAAGGATTCTTTCACCCCCTCTCTCCATTTCCTGCTCACAGCGCTCGTCCTACAAACAAGTATGACAAAATAAACACAAGACGAAACAGAAACAAAGGGGTAAATACAGGGAATTAAGAAGAAAAAGTAGAGGAAAAGAATTAACTGAGCCAAATCCTTGAAACAAGTAAGCAGAGCAAAAATATGAGCCAAGAGGTCAAAGGGCAGTCTATCAATCGGTGTTTCTTGATCATCTACTTGTTCAACCCCCTTTCGCTTCATTGAACCAAATCACAGAAATAACAAAGGGCTTCAAAATTTAACACACACACAAAAAATTCAAGAAGAAGAAAGACGGAGTCGAAGTTATGTAAACAGAGAAATAATAAAAATCTAACAAGTAGGAGAGAGAAAGAAGATGAAAATAAAGTGTGGTCATCTTTTCGTCATGTCATTCACCTTTTAACGTTAGTATGCTATGTTCTTTTCCTTCTAGATGCAGTACCTTTTAGAATCTTTATAAATAATTCATGCTGTAACTGAATCAGGTAGTTTAATTTAATAAACTAGGTCGCCATTTTAGCCTAAATATGAGAACATTTTTAATGCTAGATGATTATTTCAAATTAAAAGTTTTACCTGACTTACCTAACAATTTTAACTTTTTAGACAGATACGAAATTGTATATACTCTTACGTATTTTAGATGTATACTATATAAAGAAGTTGTCAACTTTGCGTATCAGAAGGGCAGCTTTGAATTTGATTTTATACTAGTTCGTTGATGACGTTACGTTTAGCTTGCGTGTATTCATTGATTTGGGCAAGACACGCGGGTTTCTCGTTGCTCTTCCTCTTTGCAAGGAACTCGCCTAATTTTCCCTTTTTATTTCTTTTCTACCTTTTCCCTTCGGATGTTGTCACATTTACTTTTGATACTTTTACATCCTTTATATCATAGAATTGACAAAACAAAAGAAGACATAATTAAGGCCAAATACATAATAAAATTATCACGAATTTTTATATTGACACGTAAATTAAAGATTGTTTTTATTAGACACTTCAACTCCCACTAAAATGTGTCTATTAAACATCTAAGTTACATTCTCTCTTAAAAATGAATTGTGTGAGTTACAGACGCCCTAATAGGGAAAGTGCACTAATAAATGGATGACACATGTACTTTAAGAAGCCGCTTATGTATTTGACTATTAGTTAGTGGTAAGAATATATGTTATTTATATTTCTTTCTCCCCATAATTCACTATTTCAATGCCATATAATTCACTTGTATGTATGGTATATCTTTCTTCAATACGAGCGAATCAGTCAGATGTAATTGGATTGAAGCAACATAAAGTAGTCCAAATTAGTCAAACGGATTTTGTTGTATAAAAAACTTGAGGTTAGAAACATGATAAGGTTTCCATATCAGAACACCACAATTCCATTTGCATGAAGACAAGTTGCACCACAACTCTGATCTTGAATTCTAATGTTCGATCGGATAGAGCAGTCCACTGAGCATCGGACCTCCAATTCAGCTAGGTTGGCCCAGAGTAGATGGGCTACTTATCATTGGGTGTGGGTAACTCAGAAGCCCAAAATCTTAAGTCTTAGTTCCAATTTCCAACCAAGTGAAGCTCAATACCAGTCCTATTCCTCCCCAGCCTGGCTAATCTGAATTGTGAATTACGTTGATTTCATTTTAGGTCATTGGCCCAAAAATAGAATAATAGTCCCATTTAGACAGTAATATTGATCCTTTTTTTTGTTGGGTTGGGGGGTTAAAGGACAGTTTATTGATATTACTAAAGCCTTACATATTGATCCATATGTTTTAGTTTATGGAGGTGTCAATCAACCAAAAATCGCGCTACAGTCTGCATCAATTCATCAGGTCAGTATGAGGCATTTTGTATAGCTTGGGTAGAGATGCATTTAACTAGTCAGTAGTCAGTACTAGTTAATAGTTCATTTTATTCTCCTACGTATTTCATAATTCATAATTTAATATGAACAGGTCGTAGTCGCCTATCAAAAGTCATGCTACCTTTTTTATTAATCTTTTCCAATCTTAGCTGCTTTGATTTCTTCACCACTTTTACGAGTTCAAACCTTTTCTTTTCCCGAAACTCTATTTTGCACCAGTTGGTCATCTGTGTGACGTAACAGATTCCCAACTGACCAAATGACATTCTGGACCTTTGATCTTTGAACTTGGACTTTTTTGTTATTTACATACATTGTTGAAAAAATAAGCAGTAGGTAACATCGACAATGCAACCTTTACAAGAAACGAGAAAATTAGAAATAAAAGGTAAAATAACGAAACAGGAAATTGCAAAAATAATAAATCCTCCATTCCCTTGAACTAGCCGTGTAAATTTAACTGATGCGGCGGCAGAGGGTGATGCCATCACCAACGGGAAGCTGACAAATTTCAATTCTTGGATCAGCAGCCAATGCCTTGTTGAGTTCCAATACGAAATCCCTATAATACCTTACATATTTCCTAAGGGGTGCATCAGGTGGTGCAACCACTGATCCATTCCAAAGGGTGTTGTCATATCCAATTAGTCCACCAACTTTGACCAACTCGATTAATCTCCTGTGATAGTTTAAGTAATTGTCTTTGTCAGCGTCCACAAATATGAAATCATATGATCCATGGTATTTGCCCTGTTACCATAAGTGATGAACAAACATTAATTTTAACTATATATCATATCATAGACAAGCTTTCAAGTTATTTATTTCATATTTAGCTACTTACGTCTTCAATCATTTGATCAAGAACGGGAAGTGCAGGGCCTTCTTTGAATTCAATTTTGTGAGCTAGTCCAGCCTTTTCAATTACTGGAAGACCAATCTCGTAGTTATCCCGGTTGATATCCATGGCTAAAATCTGAAGCAATTTATCCAAATTAGTAGGTACATGTTTTTATGTACGAGAAGTCATTGGTAAAAATTAATTAATTACCTTGCCATCATCAGGAAGAGCCATGGCAGTAGCAAGAAGAGAGTAACCAGTAAAAACACCAATCTCCATTGTGTTTTTGGCATTGATGAGTTTAAGAAGCATGCTCAAGAATTGTCCTTCATCAGCAGAGGTGGTCATGATGTTCCTGTTATTTTTTAAATAAATGATTTTTCATACTTAAATCCAACTAAATATTACCTTAATTAAGTAGTATTCAATTTGCATTAAAGGTAAAAATTACCAGGGGTGTTTTGCGGTGATCTCTCTTAGCTCTTTCATGGGTTCAGGCTCTCTTGGATACACGCTTGTTTCAAGAATGTACTGTTGAAATACAAAACAAACAATTGATTAAAATAAAGTTTTTGCAAAAAAGGGAATTAATTTCTTGTATGACAATATGGATAAAAAGGGGGTATATATGTGGTTTAATTTGCATGTAGTTTAATTACCTGATAAAGGGCATCACTTTGCAAAAGACTCTTGTGTCCAACTTCTTGATGTCTTCCATTCTCTCCATTGCTTGCCATTTCTGCTTATTCTTTCTTTGGTATGGAAGTGGATATATTAGTAACTATCTTTGAAAGTAGATAAGTCTAAGTTAGCAACCAGCTTTTGGAGAAATTTAAATTTATAGGAGTAGAAATTTATAGGAGTGGAGGGGTTGGTTGGCTGAAAATGATTGAAAGTTGTTTGAGTTTTTCTTTTTGGTAAAAAAAGTTGGTGAGTATTTCGTTCTTGCTCATAAGTCATAGATGGGACAATAGAGACAAACGACCAACTCCAATTTTGACTTCAAATGCATTACCTAACAAATACCCACCACCGGCTCCTACTTTCCTAGTTTCAAATTTCAGTATACTATATAACTTATGGCCTACTTTCCTTGACGGATTCAGAAAGAAAAGTTTATTCTTTATTTGAAGAGACCCACGTCAAGTGGACAACGCATTGCAGATATTTTCTTTTAAAAGCCTTATTTTACTTTTTTCTATGTTTGTTCACTTACAACTCGTAAGTTATGTTAACAAATAGTAATTATTTTACTTATTCTTAAGTTTATTGGCGTTTGTTTGAGTACTGAAGAATATTTTGTAAAAAACATTTATTAAAGTTGCTAATAATTATTTATCTATTTATTAATATTGCAGCTGAGAAATATATGTAGACTAAATTTGCGTCGAGAAAATAAAATCAAGACAAAAAATATCGCAACAATCGTAGTATTTTATTTCGAATATTTGAGTGTTACAATCTCTATGAATCATCTGATTCTTCTTTTCAATGGTAAATAAATTCAAGGGCCTTTGAGCTTGATCTTGAATCTATGTTTGTTGCCACGAACGATGATCTTGTTCTTGAGCTTGGGCTTGATTGCTTAGACTTGAACTTGATTTGGTCTTCGTTCTTGAGCTTGAACATGATTTGTTCTTCGTTCTTGAGCTTGAACTTGTTTTCTTGAAATTGAACTTGAAGCTTGAAAATTGTGGAGGAATTTGCAGCGTTTGATCCACGAGCTCTTTCTTGCTTCTTGTTATAACTTCTGGTGTCTTTTTCTGAGTTATGAAGACCCCTATTTATAGTTGTGGAAGGGAGGAGTTGTGATAAGAACAAACTCTTTCCGACCAATCAAATTGAAGTGTGACATGGCCGCATTTGATTGGCCAGAACATGTCACTTGCACACGTGGCGCGATTTAATTGGCCTTTCAGTGTGACTGGGTATGCCTTGTCATTTTGACACGTGGCATGGTCCTATTGGCTTTTCCGCTTGACTTGGCGTGCCACGTTATTTGACACGTGGCACCAAATTGGGCCTCTAGGAAGATGACATCTTGGGCTTAATGAAGTGGGCTCATCACTTTAGCCTAATTAAATGGGCTAGCCCAATGGATTAAGACTTATTTATTTAATCCATATATATTTGATTTATATAATTAATTCAATTATATTAGCCCATAATATTTATTTGGACCAATATTATTTTGAATTTAAAATATAATCCGAATTATTTATCGAATTTGAATCCAATAAATTTTACATGTCTACAAATGACCCCTATTTCAAGACTCGTCAAGGTTTTTAAACTTTTGAAGACTAGGCTTGAAGTATTTATATTTGTATACTTGAATTGGCTCTGACATAGTCATATGGAATGTTAAAGCAAAATCCCAAAATTATTATTACGTGACTCGATCACGTGAAACATAAAAGCTGTAGTCTTTTCAATTCAGAAGTCATCCTTTTCTTTTTAAGTGACTTTAAAATGATTAGCTTTTTCCATGTCATACATTTCAATGAAATGCATGCTGCAGTAATTGTTCTAGTTATAACTAGAATGTTTTCTTTCATTTAAAGGGCCGTATAATCCCCTTTCACTGCCCAGACATAATACACACATAGAGTCCTTATTCTATTCCAAAGTGAACTCTCCAATCCGATCTCAACATGAATTGGAACAGACGTCCACTAACCACTCACACTAGGAGACTGCCTACAATATTTTATCCCACATCGAAAGAATGCTTGGTCAGTGTATACCTTTGCTATCTATATAAAGCAACATGCTCTTCAAGTGTAGTATCAATTCGTAGTAAGCCACATGAGTCAATTTTTGTGGACTCGGAAGCATCAACACGAAGGTAATTTCTTTTTTTTTTCTTGTACTTTTCTTCCTTATTTTTTTTGTAGGTCAAGCGAGAAAGATATGCTCTTGTTCAATAAGATGATCCATGCATGAAGGAGGCGGTCTTAAAGTGTGAGGGGATGGGTACTCATCCATGCCCAAATATCGGAGGGATTACTTTCATGGCCTGATTCTTAAAAAGATTACTCTCAATGTGGCCCAATTCTTGGAAAGATTACTCTCAAAATGGCCCGATTCTTGGAGAGATTACTCTCAATGTGGCCCAATTCTTGGAGAGATTACTCGCAAAATGGCCCGATTCTTGGAGAGATTACTCTCAATGTGGCCCAATTCTTGGAGAGATTACTCTCAAAATGGCCCGATTCTTGGAGAGATTACTCTCAAAATGGCCCGACTATCGAAGAGATTACTCTAAAAATGGCCCGACTACCGGAGAGATTACTCTCAAACTATCGGCGAGGCCAACTTAAGGTGCAAAGGGACTCATATGTCCACCTTAAGATTGGAAAGTTATAGTTCCTTTTAAGGACAAACCCATGAAGAGACCAACTTAAGGTGCAAAGGGACTTATATGTCCACCTTAAGATTGGAAAGTTATAAAGCTTCAACTTGAAGACGACATCGACTTGAACACTTGGAAAACTTTGAAGATTTGGCGGACTTTGCAGACTTCAACTCGAAGATTCAGAGGGCTTAAACAATTCAACTTTAAGATCGGCGAATTTGAAGACTGAAACTTGAAGACCGACGAACTTGAAGACTTCAACTAGGGGGCTTAAATATTTCAACTTTAAGACCGGCGAATTTGAAGACTTCAACTTGAAGACCGACGGACTTGAAGACTTCAACTTTGAGACTTGGAAGGCCTAAATATTTCAACTTGAAGATCGGCGAATTTGAAGACTTCAACTTGAAGACCGACGGAGTTGAAGATTTCAACTTGGGGACTTCAACTTGAGTACCGACGGACTTGAAGATATCAATTTACCATGGAGGGTTGCCCCTTTTAAATCAAATGTGATCAAAGTTCCACAAGAGGATGGCATTTCAGCTTGATTTTGCATTCCTCCATACATCACTCGGACAACAATTGGGGCAATATGTATCTTTTGAACTTATGCGACTGAACTTAGAATGAAACTCTAAGCTGCCTACGTACCCCGGTAAAGAGGATCAAGTCATACCGTAGTTCAGACTGGGTGATTTTTTTTTATGTCCTAACTTTTGCCTAGGCCGCCTCTTTCAAAGTTTTCAACCTAACAGACTCTTTTTTTTTTACGTCCTAACTTTTGCCTAGGCCGCCTCTTTCGAGATTTTTAACCTAGCGGACTTTTTTTTTGGGCCGTACACAGTTTATACTCTTGCGGGCCAGGAGTGTAGCAACGTGCAGTTTAGGATCGTGCGTCAAGGAGCGTCATGACTTGCAGTTTAGGCTCGTACGTCGAGGAGCGTTATGACTTGCAACTTCATGGATAATACTTCTTCAAAAACTTGCCGTTGATAGGGCCGATTCTCATACCATCTGCATCAACCAGCTTGTAAGCCCCACTTGAGTAAGCTTCTTGTACGACATATGGCCCATACCATTTTGAAGTGAACTTCCCTACAGGTTTATGGGAAGTAATTATGGGTCTTCGTACGGCAAGGACTTGATCTCCTACTTGAAAGGATCTCGGACGAACTCTTTTATTGAAGGCGCGAGACAATCGAGCTTGATAACATTCAAGACTCTGTTGAGCTTCCAATCTCTTTTCATCAAGAGCTTCCAACTCTACTAATCGAAGTCGAGCATTTTCTTCATCAGTGATCCCTTCTTGAATAGCCAGTCGTAACGAAGGTATTTGACGCTCAAGTGGCAAGACGGCTTCGACTCCATAAACGAGTGAATAGGGAGTCGCCTGTGTTGGCGTGCGGTGAGTCGTCCTATATGCCCATAGAGCTTCTTCCATACGGTCATTCCAATCTCGTTTGGATTTGGAGACGACTTTCTTTAACATGTTGCATAGAGTCTTGTTGAATGCCTCAGCTAGACCATTGGCGGCAGCATTGTACATCGAAGAGTTACGTTGCTTGAAGCCAAAAGATCACAAATCTTGTTCATCAGCCTATTGTCGAATGGCTTTCCATTATCCGTTATTATGTAACGAGGAATGCCAAAGCGATAAATAATGTTTACTCGGATGAAACTTGCAATATTTTCCTTCTTTACGTGCTTAAGAGCAACAGCTTCAGCCCATTTTGAGAAGTAGTCAGTTGCAGCCAAGTTGTATAGGTGCCCGCCAGAGGACTTTGGTAGTGGTCCAACAACATCCAATCCCCAAGCGTCAAACGGCCAGGATGCAACAGTCAGGTGCAACACTTCAGGAGGTTGATGAATAAAATTCGCATGGAATTGACAAGCCTTGCATCTTCGAGCGTAGTCCAAGCAATCTTTTACCATTGTTGGCCAATAATATCCCATCATTTTTATATGGAAGTGGAGCTTTGGTCCGGACTGGTGTGATCCACATACCCCAGAATGTGCCTCTTGCAAAGCTTGGAGAGCTTCTTCTTCTCCTAGGCATCGCAAGAGTACTCCCTCGAACGACCTTCTGTATAGAGTATCCTTGTAGTAAAGGAAGCGAGGTGCACGACGATGGATTTCAGTCCTTCTCCTCGGATTTTCTAGAAGTATCCCATAGCATAAGTAGTCGATAATGGGTTGTCGCCATTCTTCTTTCTCAACTTCAGAAACAGCAACAAGATGCTTGAGTTCGTTTTCTTCACCTTCAACTTCATTTGGCGGCGGTACTACCCATTTTTGGCAGACGGTAACTTGCGCTTGGTCAGGAAGGGCTAATGATGAAGCTAGAGCAGCTAAAGCATCAGCCTTCTTATTTTCTTTCCTTGGCACATGCAGAATAGTCACATCACCGAGCCACCCCATCAACCTTTTTGCGTAATTATGATATGGGCGTAGTTCAGGCTTCTTGACCTCGTAACTACCCAG